AGTTTCTTCGGCTGTGATTGATTTTTTGTATGCTGCGAAGTCTGCCATTTTCGTCAATCGATCGACGACGACCAGGATCGCGTCGTTCCCACTTGCTCCGGCCGGTAACCCCGTGACGAAGTCCATCGTCATCTGCTGCCAAGCACGCTCTGGGGGTGGTATCGGATGCAACTGCCCTGCCGGTCGCTTCCGTTATGATTTCATGACTTGGCAGGTGGGACACGATGCCACGTGTCGTTGCACGTCGGTCAACAATTCCGGCCAGTAGTAGTACCGCTGCAGCTGCTGCCGTGTTTTTTCTACTCCGAAATGTCCTGAGGTGACCCCGTCGTGTGCCTCCTGCAACAGTAATTCCCGTAGGAGTGTGTATCCTGGTACCCATATTCGATCGGTGCCGGCTTTTACGTAATAGACTCCCCTTGTTGCTGCGAATTTCCACTTGTAAAAAATGGGTCAGTCTGATAACCGTGGGTAAATAGGCCGGTCAGCAGCGGGCTGGTCTGGGCGAGTTGTATGGCGTGGACTTGGGCTGTGGTCCGGGTTAATGCGTCGGCGATGTTCGATGCCCCCTTTTTGTAGGTGACCGTGTAGTGAAAGTTCGACTCGAGGTAGTCGAGCCAGCGGATTTGTCGTGGGTTGAGGTGGGGTTGTGCGCGGAGGTACTGTAGAGATTTGTGGTCTGTCCGTACTGTCATGTCGGCGCCAGTCAGGTAACAGCGCCACACCTTGAATGCATGCACGATCGCAAGCATTTCGCGATCGTGTATCGGGTAATTCTTCTCGGGCGGATGCAACTTTCGTGATTCGTATGCGATAGGCTGTAAACCGTTGCCGAAGTCTTGTAGCAGTACAGCTCCAATGGCGATGTCGCTTGCGACGGTAACCACTTCGAATGGGCGGTGTGGGTCGGCGATGCGCAGTACGGGCGGTGAACAGAGAACATTTTTCAGGGTAGAGAAGGCAGCATGCTCTTTCTCCCCCCACGTAAAAGTGACCCCCTTCCGCAGTAAGTCCGTAAGCGGGGCAGTTAAGCGTGCCATGTTGGGCCGAACCGGTGCACGTAATTAACGAACCCCAAAAAACTCTGCAGCTCCGTGATGTTCGTCGGGGGGTGCCACGCTTTTACCGTTTCCAGTTTCTGTCAGAGGTCCACTGGAGATCCCCGATTGATCCTAGGGAAGGGTTACAGGCTCGTTGTCCTGGAGGGTTATGGGCGCACTGACCCGCTACTTAATAAGCCATTTTATCCCAATGGTCTAGTGGTTGGGATTCTGATATGGTATCAGAGCAAAGGTCTCGGGTTCGAATCCCAGTGTGTGCACTTCGGGCATTCCAGTGCGGGGGGGTGTCAGAGGTCCACTGGAGATCCCCGATTGATCCTAGGGAAGGGTTACAAGCTCGTTGTCCTGGGGGGTTATGGGCGCACTGACCCGCTACTTAATAAAGCCCTTTTATCCCAATGGTCTAGTGGTTGGGATTCTGATAGTTTCTTCGGGTTGATTTCTACTCCAGCCTCTGAAATAACGTGCCCCCAAAACTCTAGCCTATCCTGGAAGAATTCGAACTTGGAACCCTTGGTCAGTAGTATGTGTTTGTCTAAAACAGTAAATACTGCTTCTAAATCGGCTAAGTGCTGCTGCTTGTCGCGGCTGTAGACGAGAATGTCGTCGAGGAAAATGATCACACATTTATCTAAAAGTGGCCTAAACGCCTCGTTCATGGTCATCTGAAAAGTCGTCGGTGCGTTGGTCAGCCCGAAAGGCATCACTGTGTACTCGAATGAACCATATCTAGTCCTAAATGTTGTTTTGGCGCAGTCCGATGGTTCGACCCGAATCTGATGGTAACCTCCCCGTAAGTCGATTTTCGAAAAGACCCGTGCTGTGCGCAGTTGATCTATCAGTTCGTCAGCGCGGGGGATGGGGTATCGCGATTTAACTGTAACCCTGTTCAGTGCTCTGTAGTCGATGCACATGCGAAACCCTTCGTCCTTTTTCGGTGTGAACAGGATCGGTGCGGCAAATGGCGATGAGCTCGCTCGGATGAATTGTTTTTCTAACAGGTAATCTAACTGCTTCCTTAGCTCGTCGAGCTCGGGCTGTGTCAATTGGAACTGTCGCTGTACAGTTGGCTGTGCCCCGGGTTCTAATTCTATTCGGTGATCGTGTGCCCGCTGAGGTGGCAGACCCTCGGGTAAATCATCGGGGAAGATCCCCGGGAACCGTTTTAACAGTTCCTGTAGCTCCGATGGTACTGCCGCCAGTAGTTTCTGAAAATCGCTCGGTTGATCTGCTTCCTCCACCATTGCGATATCCATTGCGTACACGTCAGCTCCAGCGGCGACAGCCCGTTTCATTGTTATGGCGTTGACGTGGACCGTTGAAGACTCAAGCGACTGCCAGCGAGGTAGTTCCACCCAGCCACCGCTACTTCGCACAGTGCAGCTACCCGTCGTCCAGTCGATTCGCGGGTTGTATCGTCGCAGCCAATCACGTCCCAGTAAAATGTCGTGCCCATCCAATGTCGTCGCGAGCATTTCCTGTGTAAACCCGAAGTTCCCCCCACAGCGGACTTTTACGCTCTCCACTTTTTCCCGTATGGCCAGCGGCGTTCCGTCAACTAAGCGTGCATCTATCTCCGGTAAACACCGACTAAGTGTCAGTTGCAGTTTTCTTGCAATCGCGGTATTAACTAAGCTGTGACTTGCGCCTCCGTCTATAAAAATCTTCACTGCTGCTCCCTGTATTTTCCCATGGATCAGTACGGGGCAATCCGTCATTGTACCCTCCTTATTCGTCCGAGCCCGATCGACAGCGTGAATCGGTACTGTGACTCGGTGAGGGTCGGTGAAGTTGGGCGAGCAGGCAGTCTCGTCAGTAGTTGGCCCAACTTCTACTGACTGCTGGCGTTTCCCGGCCTCTGAGACTCTTGCCCCTGCTCTGTTCCGCGGCGCCTCAGCTCCTCTGGGCATTCATTCTTACGATGGCCCGGCCTATTGCAAGCAAATCAGCGCCCCTTAAACGGTGCGGCAGCTGCATTTGTCGTAACGGCGTGTACGGTGGCGTGCTTGATCGGCCCCCGAGGACGTTGTCCGTAGTAGGACCCCGGTCTCGGTTGTCGTAGGATGTCGATTTTCTCTGCGAGCGCGAGGATCTCGTTGAAATTCGAGAGCCCGCGTAGCATGATTTCGTGCGAGATGTCCGGCTTTAGTCCTCCGACGAAACGGTCCACCCGTTCCGCTTCGTGCTTATAGCCGACTTGTTCGCATAGTGCGAGAAAACCGCTCGTATAGTCTTGAACCGACCCGAGCTGCCGCCAAGTGCGCACCTTCTGACGCGCCGAAATCGAAGCCGCAATCGGCTCGAAACGCGCCCGAAGCCCTGCGCACCACGCATCCCACGTGCTGTACTGGGCTGTCTCGCATAATGAACTCCAGGTGACGGCTGGGCCCGTGGGCCCGTCTTCTTGCGACGGTGGCTCGTAGGCGCGCGGCGACGTCACAATGACTCGCCACCAGTCCATGGCAGGGCCCCTCAGCAACGAAACAACATAGCGAATTTTCGCTGCGTCCGACTCGACGTAATTCGCGTCGAAAAAGACGTTCATCGTGAAGACCCACGACTGAACCGTCGGACCTCCACGTTGGCTCGGGTCGAAACAGGGCGGACGTTGCGGCTTGAGGGGCATTGGTGCCGTGACGGCGTATTCGCCACTTGTCGCTGCAAATTCCACGTGCCGACGGGCTTCGCGGGGCTCCCGTGGGCTTGGTGCGGCCCTGTTTCTCTCCATGCCAGGCATTGAGTGAGCGGCGCCCTCACTGGCTACGCCTGAGCGCTGTCCTATGCTGTCGTTCTGTGTCGGTGTGCCGGAGGAGATAACGATCGGCTCCTCGGAGTGTGCGTTTGTTGGTGCTGGTGCATTCACTGTCGATTGTTGGCGAGCGGAATCGCGTTCCGCCGTGAGTGTGGCGATTTCAAGCGCCGATTCTTCGAGTTGGCGCATGAGCCGGTCTAGCTGCTCCTGTGTCAGTGTCGCGACATTAAGTTCTGCCATGGCGGAGGTGTCGGGCAAGCTCAGCGAGAGCCTCTGTCGTGGCCGTGCGTGCTTACGAGAGAGCACTACGAGCAGCGGTGCTTGGTCGCTGAGAGACGTCTACCCCCCCAAAAAAATTGAGATAGTGGGGAAGCGAAGGGGTGGGTGTGGTCCGAGAGAAGATCGTAGGCTCTGATAACCAAGTGTTACGAGTGCAATTGAGTGAACGAGCGAGGATTGCACTATCGAGTCAAGAAATACAATGAGCGAAGAATTGGGCGAAGAATATATAGCGAAGCTACAGTGGTAACGGTAACGTGTGGGAAATGGTGTGCGCGACGGGCCTGGTGCCGAGGTTGGGGGACTGTCGAGGCGGAGGTCCGGAGCGCGGGTTACCGACCGAACCATGAGGTTGGGTCGCATCGTGAACAGTGGCAGGAATGGGGTCGAGGCGAATGTCGCGAGCGGTAACGGGATATTGTGGGGTGCTGTTGGCGGGAACAGTGCTGTACGCGCAAGGCAGGGACGCGAAGGAAAAGTGATTTTCCTTACACCAACCCACTATAGCCTAGAGAGAACACAAACATATAGTTTGACAAACCGTCCCAAATACAAGACACAGCAAGTTTTTTTTCTAATGTATAAGATAAGACATATACCGTATGTCTTCTATCCGGGCGATGACAGTATTCGGTCATGCCTTCGCTCATACTTTGTACTCGTTGACCACTCTAGTGCAATCCTCGCTACCTCGATTCATTGCACCCGTAACACATAATCAAAACGATGCATGAACCCATTGGGCACTGCATTCTTTGACAAAAATTACTGGTAATGCAGACATTGCATAGAGGGAGCATGTGTGAACTGGAGACACACCGAACGGAAGAACCCCATGCAACTCATAAATGTACTTTGGTTCATAAGAAAAATAATGTTCTAAAAGGGACAAGTTGATATAGCATGTTTCACAGTGGCAAAGCAGTGGCTGCTGTTGAGGCAGCAAGCAGGGCAGCAGCAGTGGCAGCAACCCCAAGAGCAGCAGCAAGAGACACGGTGGCCATCTCTGGTTGCCTCTGCAGGAAGTCCTGGACTGAAATGCCCGTGAGCGGCTTGCGCCCCGCCCCCCGCGTGGCGATCTGCTCCGCACACTGCTTGCCTGACAGCACCGCCCCCTCCATTGACGCCAGGTACCTCTGTTGGTGGGCCGGGAGGGAGAAGGAGGGAAGAAGAGGAGGAAGAAATTCAGAGAGGCAGACGAGGGAGCCAGAAGACAGAAAGTCAGATATGGCAAATGGGAATGAATGGAACGAGAGGCAGTCCCCTGCATGGTGGCAGGACACACCACAAGCACACACCTGCATGGTGGCAGGACACACCACAAGCACACACCTGCATGGTGGCAGGACACACCACAAGCACACACCTGCATGGTGGCAGGACACACCACAAGCACACACCTGCATGGTGGCAGGACACACCACAAGCACACACCTGCATGGTGGCAGGACACACCACAAGCACACACCTGCATGGTGAAGCAGCCAGCGAGGTAGAAGTTGGAAATCGGAGTCGTCTGCCCGGGGCGGTACGCCTGGCGGCCGGTAACCGCCTTGTACACCGACCGGGGCGTCTTCACCACGATGCTCTTCCGCAGCTTCGCCTTGCTGCCATCCGCACGCACCTCCGTGGGAAACAGCCTCTCCAACTCCACCATCGTCGCATGCACTATATCCTCGTCACTCCTCCCAATCCACTCTTTTGCCGGCGCAAACACCAGCTCCAGCATGCTGGCGTTCTCATCTGCATACCCCTTGCAGGTCACCGACATGTCTGCATACACAGACAGCAGCTTGGATCGCGAGAAGAGCAGATGATCGACGGTTGTGAGCTTCCGGTCGAACCAGAGGTGCACGTTGATGACTGGTACACCTTCCAGCCCGTCCAGCTTCTGGAAGAAGGGGTCGGCTTTCCAGGCGGGCGGCAGGAGCAGCTTGAGCGGGTCGACGGGCATGGCGGAGACGTAGAGGTCGGCCGTGACGGTCTCTCCGCCCTGGAACTTGAGGCACTTGACTGAATTGTCCTCGTTCAGCTCGATGCTCTGCAGCCGCTTCTCCAGCAGCACCTGGTGGAGCAGGCAGGGGAGGGGGGGGGGGGGGGGGGTGGGGGGTGGGAGGAGTTGGAGGGATGCTAGGGCAGGGCTACGTTCGAGACGTCTCACAAGGTGGCCAATCCTCGTTCAACTCAGAGCTGAATGTCGGCGGTGACGGTCTCCCCGCCCTGGAACTTGAGGCTCTTGACTGACCCATCCTCGTTCAGCTCGATGCTCTACAGCCGCTTCTCCAGGAGAAGCTGGGATAGCAGGGAATTGGGGAGTAGCATAGTGAATTTTGAGGGATAGCAGGGTGGCAAGGCATTGGAATAAGAAGGGGGGTGGGGGTGCAACGAAGGGGTGGGTTGGGGAAAGGGGGAAGGGGGCGAAATGAAGGATTCAGCATGAAAACCTACCTCTTCCATCACTTCCTCCTCACCTACCTCTCTCACTGATCTCCTCTCACCCATCGACCCTATCGCCCTCCTCTGCTGCAAACATGACAGCCTTCCTCAACTGCTTCCCCAAGCCCTTGAGAGTGGGATACTGAACCACCCGCAACAGTCTCTATGTGTCTGTAACACCTGTTGCTGTCCAGAGTACCAAGAACACACCTAACGCCTGAAACACTACGGACAACTGTGACGGTCTTGGTTTGGGTTCTAAGTAAAAATCGAACCCGGCTTCTGCCCTATACCCTCTGCGCCCTGTGCACTCCTATCTTCTATGCTGCCGGTGCCACTATCCTATCCTCTGCCCATGCCCACGGCACCAGCAAACTCCTCCCTTTCCGACCGTGCATTGTCAACGTGCCTTCCTTCCATCTATGCACTTTAGACGACCACACAGTCGACACGCCCTCCCTCGCGCAACCCGTCGCTTCGTTTTCTGCTGCATCAACTGCTGCGCCACACCCGACCCCTCTTATCTCAAATCCCCTCCCTTGGACGTTGGCACTCCATGCTATGGCTGGCACAGGCGGGTGAGGGCACTCAGAAACACTCCGCAGTCGCCCCTGAACCCTCATGCTCAGTACTCTCGCTCACCTGGCCGCCGCCCTTGGTAATGTGCTCCACCATGGGCTCGCACAGGCGCGTGGTGGGCGGGCCGTCCAGGAACGCCATCTTCGACCCGTGCCTCTCCTGGAGTAGGGGAAGAAGGAAACAGGATGGGAGGGGAGGGATGGGATGGGGGACGAGGGCGAGGAGTTTGGTGGGCGCCTGGTCCCAGGTGATGAGGTCTCTATGCTTACCCAACGAAGCGAGAAAGAAACTTAAATACTTGAAGGAACCGGCTTAATGTCGTGACCAAACACATGTACCGTATATTACGATTGTAACCGTCATACATGGTAGCGGGAAACTTATCTGGAGGAAGCGGTTCATGGCAGTGAGAATGACGGTGGAGGAGATTTCCCAGGGGTCGATGAAGTTGAGCGCCTTGGCCATGGCGATGAACACCTCCTCGTTCACGCGCTCCGGCACGCCCTGCTTGCCCTGCTTACCTGGTTGCCCTGCTTGCCGTGCGTGCCCTGCGTGCCCTGCTTGCCGTGCTTGCCCTGCCCTACGTGCCCTGCTTGCCCTGCCCTACGTGTCCCGCGTACCCTGCTTGCCCTCACAACCATGTAGCCCTGTTACGAATGTAACCAGCGAAAGTCGCGGCGCGCGCACCTGCAGGAAGCGGTTCATGGCGGTGAGGATAACGGTGGAGGAAATTTCCCAGGGGTCGATGAAGTTGAGCGCCTTGGCCATGGCGATGAACACCTCCTCGTTCACGCGCTCCGGCACGCCCTGCTTGCGCATCCAGTCCGAGATCGACAGCCCGTCCTGCTTCTCCACGTACGATTGACCCTGTCACCGGGTAACCAGAAAGGATGGAGCACGTGAAATTTTCAATTCTCGTCTCTCATATCTCATATGTCTCACCTCTCATCGCCAATCTCTCATCTCTCAATCATTGGCTCCCATCGCTCAAAATTCGTTGCTCAACTCTCTCACCGCTCATCTTATCTTTCGATTCTCAGGGCCAACCATGAAGTCCTGGGAGCGGGTCGGCCTTTGCGTGACGATCACGCTATCGAACCCTTGCTGATGCTGACCTGGATCATGGCGGGAAGAAGACCGATGCCGAAAAGAATTTTCTCCGGCCACGTCAGCATGTCGTTGTTGCGGAGGATGGCGACGACGCCGTTGGCGGGCGCGGGGATGTCGGGGAAGTCGAAGCGGGAGAATTCCCCAGGCTTGTCGGGCATGGCGAAGATCATCGAGTGCTCCTTCCATTGCAGCCGGTCTTCAATGTCCAGCTCCTTGAATAGCTGCGGAAGAGGGAGGGAGAGGGGGGGGGGGGAAAGCGAATTTTGCAGAGTGGCACTTTCTGCTTTTCTAATTGACCAATGGAGATCTGACTCTTGTTGATTCGTTAGCTGTTCAATGACTCAGTTCCCCCAGCTGCCACCTGAACAAAGTCTCAACTCAAGCATCCTGTACAGAGGACAGTGTTCAGATTCAGCCATCACAGCCATCACCAAACCATCACAAACACTAACCGAGCACGGTATTTCGATACCGGATTATTTTAGCCTCCTTTGAAACCTCCATTGCACCTCTCCCCTGCTTACCTCCATCATGTTCGGGTAGGCTCCGAAGAAAATGTGGAGACCGGTCTCGTACCAGTCGCCCTCCTCATCCTGCAAACCGAATCAGATGTTTAACAATAGCAGCTTAGATCTTAACACACAACGGGACACGAATGCTGAAAATAGCAGCATTGGCGACCGTATTGACAAATCGAAGACTCACAATCAAGAAAACATTCACAAGAACGATCGCGAGTTTCAAGTTGAACGCACCTGCCACGCGGCGACCTTCCCGCCAAGCACGTCGCGCGCCTCGTAGACGGTGGGGATGTGACCCGCATCCACCAGGTACTTCGCCGCGCTCAACCCGGCCAATCCGGCGCCAATGATTGCAACTTTCAACGGCTTCTCGGGCCGCGGAAGGTTCTTAAAAGAGGCTGAGAGTTGCTGAGCCTCCCGCTGCGGCTCGGAGTCGAAATCCGGCTTCGGGTAATCCTTGCACCGGATGTTTCCGGGCTGGTTCGTCCTGGTCTGGTGCTGCACGCGGTTAGCTGACGTGGCATTGACACGGGTGGATTTCGTGGCTCCGAATGTGGCGGACGACGCGAAGGCGAGCTGCTGAGCTGTCGCTGGAGCAACCGAGCGTTGCGAGAGAGCGGAAATCAAATCAGCTCCTGCAGTCAGAGCAGCGTTCGTGGCGTTGGTTGCAAGCGCCATGGTTGCTTCTAGAGCAGACGAGGGCTGGGATCAGTGGTACTCTAGACCGAGTGCTGGTCGGAAATTTATTAGGACCTTCTGAATCAGCAACGCTGACAACAAGCCTGCAAACGAATGCCCCAGTCAAGCAGCTGTTTGTGGTGGCTGATCCCACAAGCAAATGGCCTGAAGTATGCAGGCTGAGGGAGCAGCAGCACAGTGACCCACCAACCATTAGCCAGCCAGCCACAGAGCTCAATGTCACGGAGAAGGCAGCACTCATCCAATCAGAATGCAGATTGCGGATCATGGATTCCATCCATCCCCTCGAGGCTTGGTTGGTTCCTGTCTTGGTAGCTCCCAGCCTCGCTCAAGGGGGGAGAATGGTTTGTGCTGTGAACGAAACTGTAACAGTACAGAGTTTGGCTTCACAATTCATTTTGCCTGTGATAGCTCTCGCGCGCTCTCCATCCGACATTTCGCGACACGGGTTACATGGCTTCGGCAGATTCGCGAACCCGTGTTCGTCCTCATCTCCTCTTCGCCTTGAGCACCACTCTTGGCCACATAAGCTGTCTCCAACCAATCCTGTGCGTGCAACGTCAGCGCCCGAAGGGCTCTGTTCCGTGATGTGGGTGGAAGCCAACTATGAAAGGACTTTCCTTGTGGCACGTCATCGTTTCAACGAAAGTGGATGATCCCAAACCAGGACCTTTCGACGTGGCACACGCGAGTTCCCAGAGACGCTATCCACTCGAACTCGTGCCCATTTGTTGCCACGAGTTCCATCCACTATACAGTACATCATTTATGGAAACGAAGTTAGCCTCAGCGTGTCAAGTTTTGCACTGTAAACATACAAGCAGAGCATGTATTTATCGGGTTTGTATTCTAATCGGCATGAACAAAGTCGGGTTTAGAGTGTGGGAAGGGAGGAGCATTTCTCCATCATCGCAGGTGCCAACAAACTGCGGGGACGGCTGGCCGTCAGGCATTGAGCAGGACACCACCGCAGCACAGGTCTGTCAC